CCTGGAAGATCCTGTCACATGGGAGATTAGTAATTCCTGGAAGATCCTGTCACATGGGAGATTAGTAATTCCTGGAAGATCCTGTCACATGGGAGATTAGTAATTCCTGGAAGATCCTGTCACGTGGGAGATTAGTAATTCATGGAAGATCCTGTCACATGGGAGTTTAGTAATTCATGAAAGTTCCTGTCACATGAGATGCTGGCTTGGAAAAACAAATAAGTGTTAAACATCCAAGTCAAATCTAATAAGAACTTGGCAAGTTCGACCTCTGAAGTAGAATATAGTTTACGAGTATAACGTGTAATTTTAACTCTGATTGGAGAACGAATTAAGAGATATCAACGTACACCTAAAGCCTACTAATTAATTGGTGGATTGTGACGTTGAGGGTGATGACACGCACGTGTGTCCCAAGCAGTGGTGCAAATAAAAGAACTTCTGACTTGCGTTTATTCATAAGATGCCCGTAGTTACGATATATATATATATATATATATATATATATATATATATATAAAAACGTACAAATTATTCAGCAACTACCAGATGGGAAATTCGCACTAATTGGTTGTGCTCGCCAGATGTGCATGATGTAGTTCAATCACCTACCGAAAATGTACGAACTCCACATATGGTGGGAAACATTCATCTCTGTTATCATCTGACGTCAGTTTACTTGACCTTGATTTGAAAGAACATTATTAATTAAAGTTTTACAAGTTATATTTGTTTGTTGTTGAGCACCATGGGCTATCTACGCTGTGCCCACACAGGTTATCGAGGTGTATTTTACCAGTTACCAAATGGAGAACTATTGTTGGAGGTAACCCTGAGGGCTGACGAGATTTTTTTTTTCAACCCACGGGCGATATTTACCTACTTTATAAGTTCAACCAATATAATTTGTGATTGGGAGACCATTTGTTGTCTTCAGATGATAGAAAATAGAGATGGCATTTATTCAAGAAAAAGAAGAACAAATAATTCGTATATCTTAGTTCTGATGGCGGATTAATCAGGAAAAAACTTCTACAGTATAACACGTTACCTGGATCGATATGGTTAAGAGGCGCTCGACTCGCGATATGCGAGTCGCGGGTTCGAATCCCCGTTACACCAAACATGCTCGCCCTTTCAGCCGTGGGGGCGTTATAATGTGACTGTTAATCCCACTATTCGTTGGTAAAAGAGTAGTCCAAGAGTTGGCGGTGGGTGGTGATGACTAGCTGCCTTCCCTCTAGTCTTACACTGCCGTATTAGGGACGGCTAGCGCAGATGGCCCTCGTGTGGCTTTGCTCGAAATTAAAAAACAAAACGAAACCTGGATCGACCGCAAGTGATTTTTGGCCGAATGATAGTGTTATGTAAACTAGCACTGAAAAGTGTCGCACTAATGATAGTGTTATGTAAACTAGCACTGAAAAGTGATAATGTAGTAAACTAGCATGAAAAGTGTCGCACTATTGATAGTGTTATGTAAACTAGCACTGAAAAGTGTCACTCTGAATTGATAATGTGATGTAAACTAGCACTGAAAAGTGTCGCACTATTGATAGTGTTATGTAAACTAGCACTGAAAAGTGTCACTCTGAATTGATAATGTGATGTAAACTAGCACTGAAAAGTGTCACTCTCAATTGATAATGTGATGTAACTAATAATGTATGTATGTTATGTGTAATAGTTAACAATATCGTACCCTTTTTTACAGCTTACAAAATAAAATCAAAATGTCGTTTGAAATGTGTTCATATAAAACGTATTTTCTTCGTCAGCATATTTTGAATAGTCTGTCAGACCTGATGTATTTGAGTAAAACGGATGTGACCTTGAAAAACAGATGTAGTGGTGCTTCTTCTGCGCATGTCAGTAAGTGATAAAAGTCGTTTTGCGGTGTTACTGATGGCGACATGAAATGAAATTTCGTTCACAAAAAAAAGAAAAGAAAAAACGCAGTGTGTACGTGTATAAAGCCACCAAAGTACGACGGAGTTTGCTCCAATTTACAATGAAATAACTTTACAGGTTCTTGTGTTCACACTTTGACTGTCAATTTTTAAGAGGCCTTGCTGCGTATTTCCTAACTGGAACCGTTACGTAGCAGTTTAGCTTGATCGGAAAGTGGGTAGATGTTTTCAGTACGTGAAGAATGACAGAGTTATATACATGGGTTGTATGGAGTGTTTTTTAACTTAATATTACATAAACACTTGTACAAAAACTACACCCAGTGTGTCATACACTGGTGTCCACGTGCACACGAACCACACCCAGTGCGTCTTACACTGGCGTCCATGTACACACGAACCACACCCAGTGCGTCTTACACTGGTGTCCACGTGCACACGAACCACACCCAGTGCGTCTTACACTGGCGTCCACGTACACACGAACCACACCCAGTGTGTCTTACACTGGCGTCCACGTGCACACGAACCACACCCAGTGTGTCTTACACTGGCGTCCACGTGCACACGAACCACACCCAGTGTGTCTTACACTGGCGTCCACGTACACACGAACCACACCCAGTGTGTCTTACACTGGCGTCCACGTGCACACGAACCACACCCAGTGTGTCTTACACTGGCGTCCACGTGCACACGAACCACACCCAGTGCGTCTTACACTGGCGTCCATGTACACACGAACCACACCCAGTGCGTCTTACACTGGTGTC